ATCTCCCACTCCTACATGTTGTATTAAAAATAAATAAATAAATATGATGATATGACTATTAAAAAAAATATATTTTAGTCCCTACATATGATTTAAACTTCATTTCGGTACATATAGCTTAACTAACTACATAACATGAAATAAACCTAAGAGTTCAACAAACAAAATCAAATTTGAACATAAAATCATTTAGAACTCGTTTGATAACCATTTTTGACGTTTTTGGTTTTTGGTTTTTCTTGTTTTTTGTTTTTTGTTTTTAGAAAAACCATATATGCTTAATAACCCTTTTTTGTTTTTTGTCTTTAAAAAAACAGAAAATCAAAACATGTTTGGTAACCATTTTTAGTTTTTTTTGTTTTTAAAAAGTTAAAAAATTGAAAATACATATTAGAGTGAGAAAATTTAGAGATGACAATGGTGTGGGTGCGAGTGACGATGCTCCCCCTATTCTCGTGCTCGTGAAAATTTTTAGTCTCTGTCTCCACCTCGTTCTTGGGTCCGAGAGATTTTCTCGAGAAAAATTATCGATTTTATAATTGTTTTTAATTATTTTTAGAATTTAAGTATAAAAAAATTGTAATAAATATATATTAATTATTTAAAAAAATGAAATCGAGGATGGGGACGGGGTCGGGACATGCATTCCTTATTTTTGGAACCCGACCCTGTGGAAGTTTTTGTCATCCCCTAATGTAGAAACATGAAAATACACGTTTAGAGGGATGTAAATAAACTTTTGGAAGATAAATTTTAGAGAGGTAAATAAACAGATTTAGAAAAAAAATAGTGAAAGAAAAGTTAAAGACAAAAAGAGAAAAAATTTAGGGAAAAAAAAGTAAAGTCGAGAGGAAAAGATATGTTAAAGATAAAAAAAGAGAAAAATTATAGTGAAAACAAATTTAGAGATAAAAATAAGATTCAAAATATAATTTTTAGAGAAAATAAATAAATACAGAAATAAATAAAAGTTTTAGTGAAAGAAAATTAAACGAGAAAATAAAATATAATTTTCAAAGGAAAAAATAGAATACGTAGAGAAAGAAAAATTATAAAAGACAAAATTTTAGATAGAAAAAATTTAAGAAAAATATTAAATTTTTAGAAAAAGAAATGAAAC